CCCCCAAACCCCAAAACCCCAAAACCCCATCTAGCAATTATTATTGAGAATATTCACGATGTATAATCAATATTAATTTAAATTCAAAGTTTGTATTTCTAGCGGATTTAAATGACTAGCACACAAAAACCACAGAAAGTGATGAGAGGATTAGCTCTATTTATTGGAGACATCAGGAACTGCTAAAATAAGGATCAAGAAGAGAAAACTGTGTACAGGGAAATGGCAAAGATTAGAGGTAAATTCCAGAACAGGGCATTATCTGGCTATGACAAAATGAAGTATACTTGGAAGCTGATCTACATGTACATCCTTGGATATGATGTTGATTTTGGACACGAAGAGTCACTTAACCTTATCAATGCACCTAAGATATCTGAAAAATGTACTGGCTACATTGCAACTGGCATAATGCTGAATGAAAAATCTGATCAAAGAGTATTTGAGAGGGTCATCAATGCCATTAAAGTAGATTTGACTTGTGGTAATTAGATATGCGAGGCACTTGCATTAGCCACTGTAGGAAATATTGGTTCAGTCGAACTTGCCACTCAATTAGATGAGATAGTCATTCATAAAGCATTTAGTGAAGATAGATCGATACCAAAGCAAGTAAGAAAGAGAGCACTCCTTACGCTTCTGTCATTCTTTAAAAGGAACAGAGCTTCCTATAACCAAGAAAAATGGTTAAGAGGATTCAAATTCCTCTTAACTTTTGATGATATGGGAGTACTGCTTTCACTGTACTCTTTGATACTGGGAACTATATAAGTAATGGGCAGATAAGGCTATGAGGATATTGTACCTATACTCATTGAAAAGATCTCACATATGAATTCCTCTGCTTACAACAATTAGTAGCAAGGATATTACTACTATCAAACAATCTGTCCTTGGCTTCAAATCAAGATATTCAAAATTTTACAATTATTCCCTCCTCCTTCAGATAATGGTCATTAACAAAAGATAAATGAAGTACTTCTACAAATAATCCAAAAGACTGAGGTAACCAAGAATGTGAACAAAAATAATTCTGATCACTCCATTTTATTTGAGGCATTCAATCTAACAATCCATTATAGACAAGCTGCTTCAGAAACTCTAAGGAAAAATATTCAGCATATGCTAGATAAGTTCATCTCAGTCAAGGAACCTAATATTAGATATCTAGCCTTAGAAACTATGTGCAAACTAGTTTAATCTTCTAGCAATAATCAATTCAAGATTTAAGGACATCTGTAAACTATAATAACTAGTTTAAGAGATCAGGACATCTCAATTAGACGTAGAGCTCTTGACTTGATGTTCTCAATGTGTGATTCAAGAATCGCTGGAGAGGTTGTGAATGAGCTTTTGGACTATCTCTAAGAAAATGACTACGAACTCTAAGAGGAAATGGTACTAAAGATTGCAATCCTGGCAGAGAAATTTGCAGAAAATCTAAACTGGTATATCGATGTAATAATCAAGTTAATTGAATTCGCTGGTGATTATGTTGGTGAAGATATCTGGTTCAGAGTTGCACAAATAATTACTGGATTTGGATAGGCTGAGCCAAATGTGAATCTTCAAAAATATGCCGCATTAAAGATGTTTGATATTATGTCCATGCCTTCCCTTCACGAGACAATGGTAAAGGTTGGAGCATATGTACTCTCCGAATTTGGATATTCAATCGCTGATTTACCAGGTAAAGGTATTCCAAAGTAGTTCCAACTTGTTAACAGACATTTCTTTATTGTGAGCCCAACTTCCAGAGGAATGCTGTTAACAGCATACATGAAGATGCTCAAGAATCATCCTCCTCTTAGAGCATAAGTAGTTCCATTACTGGAGTAGTATAAGGACTATTGGGATGAGGATATTCAATAGAGAGTGTGTGAGTATCTTGCAATGCTAGAGCTGTCAGACGAACTTGGTGAAGAAGCTCAATAATTAATGAATGAGGCACTGGATGTGATGCCAAACTTCAATGATTCTCTCCAGACAAATAGCATTCTTAACAGGAGAATCTTAAAATTAAAAGTAGAAAAAGGATTCACTATTAACTCTGATGAAGTTGAGAAATCTATCAAATAAGGGATGTCTAGATATGAAACAAACAACACTGTGTCATCTGCTCTCAGCTAAAATAATCCCTCACTGTTAAGTGGAATGGATAATCTCAATTTGGGTTCTGAACCTTTATAAAAGTCATCAAAGACTTCTGTTTCCCAGCCAAAGCAATAACAGTAAATCGTTCAAGAAAACAACTTGCTAGATCTAGATGATCTACTTAGTGGTAATTCCAAATCTAACCTTGGGGGAAGTCCTCACGATTTGCTATCATCAATTGCTGATCTCTAACCTCCTTCAATTGGTGGAGGAGATGAAATTTTGAACCATAAATTTTATATGACTCATGCAGATAGATTCAGTCCTTAATAAACTATTAAGCTGGGATAATAGACTCTCGATATGACAGTATCTAATGCCTAATAATGGAAATCATTGCTGCCTTTCAGTGTTAAAGAAGGTGTTGTTTACTAAGATTCAAACATTCAAGTATAAGTCTCTATTTAGATTATAAAATATCTTGAAAGGCTGCTCTTTACTTTTAGCTCATCCTAGGGTGGACAACTAAGCGATATTTAAGTTAGAATACCAACAAGTTTATATGGGGACCAACTTGAAATGCAATGCTCTCCTGTAAAATATTCTGACTAGGATCCTTAAATTGTGATGATGATAATGCTTAAGGAAACTTTCGCTGTATCACCATCTATGAAAGTTCAATATAAGACTCCTTCTGGTTAAACAAATCAATTTGAGATGAGACTGCCAATATTTTTAAACAAATTCACAGAAGCTGTTGAAATGCCAACCTCAGATATTTTTGTTAAGACCTGGGATGATTACACTCACAACAGGCCATCATCCTTCTAAAAAATGGACGTAATCTTTAAAAACCCTGCTCTTCATGTTTCCCATACTGATGTGTTAAATAAGACTGCTAATTTCTTCAAGAATGGAATGAATCTTAAAGTATTTTAGGATAATGAATGGATTGTGAGAGGTGTAGGTCAAGTAAACTTTAAGCCTCCTTCCTAAGTTACCTTCCCTTCTAATCCTAATGACATGTAGAAGCCAATTATAGCCCCTATAATGATTGAAGCTGAGTTTTTCAAAGAAGATATTTCTGAATTCAAGATCAGTGTTAGATCTAACGACTCAAAGATGATAGCATAACCCTTAATCAACTTCTTGAAGTTTTATATGCAACCTAACCAGTGATAGAATTAATTGCATTTGTTTTAGGTAGTATCTTAATTTCATAACTATCACCTCATATTTATGACATTAGGGGTTTTGGGGTTTTGGGGTTTTG